GCAAATATTTGTGGATATGCTTAGAAGATCATCTGGTACTATCTTCCATTGTTGCCGCTCAATGAAGTACCCATGGTGGTGTCACCTGCCACCTGCTCCCTCAAGTCATTGTCCATCTTGGCTACTTCCATGAAGCAGGCGGGGGCTGCTTGGTTGGCTATGCAGCCATTCTTGAGAGAGGGAGTATTACCTTGAAATCTGCAATTGTGTGGCTAGTCCTTAAGACATCCTCCCCTATCCCCATTGGTGGCCATGAATTTCCAGTCTCTCTTGGATGAGGCAACTTACCTAGGATTTACATTCTGGGCCCATTTCATTCCATTTTCTGGCTTGGCTTTTGCACAGAAACCGCTTTGGTCCCCCTTTGAGATGATCTATGTTTGGAAAGAGATTGTGGAACTAGGACCCATTTATTATTCTGAACCCTTCAACAGTTTTTGATATAATTGACCACATTAGCTTTCTGGACTGGATTAGGAGCTAGAGGTGCAGTGTTACTGTGATGCCTCAGCTTGGCAGGGCAAAGTGATGCTGGGAGAGTTCTCCATCGTTCAATTTCATGTTTGCTATGGGGCCCTGCATCTATATAGGGCTGCTTCACCAGCAGCCTTAGTTGAGAAGTGAAAGGATATGACAGTTTTCTGCTCAGAAGTGTGAATCAACTATAGGCTAAATAAGGACCAATAAACTGAAACATGGTCCTGACAAGGTAGAGGCTCTGTGGGTGATAGTTCCCTGGTACAGCGATAGGTGTCTCCTTGGATGATTAAGTGCTTCTGGATCAAGGATGGGGAATCATTTTTGGCCTGAACCCAGCCTTGCTGCACCCCAGCAATCGGTAGGGCCGCTGCCAGCATTTGCACCTGCACATTTTTAACAGGTGTCTACACACAGCCATCTTCTCTCAAACCTACTCCTTCAGTTGGTCCACAGAGATGAACTAGGGGAAAGGCATTTTCTTGGTTTCTCTTCCTCTGGCAAGGGGAAAGGACAGGTCTCTGGTCTGCAGTGAAGCTCAGACAAACCCTTTCTGCTCTCTCAGTGCTGCTGCAGAGCAAGTGTTTGTTTCTGACTGGCTACTGATCACAGAAATCAGATGAGTGCAGGGTTCACATATCCAAGTGCTTGAATGGACAGTTGGTCTCAGGTTGCCACACCTGTTGTAAAACCTCAGTCTAATTTCAGATGCCTTCTGTTCAGGCCTCTGCCAAGAATGGTCCTCTCCCTCCACCAGCAACCTCCCGGCTAGAGAGACAAGAAAGTGGGGATGGGGGTGAAACTGGTATGGCCTCACCCATGGCAGGCTTCAGCCCCACCTACCCCTGGCATGCATCCCTGGCGGGAAAGCAGCCCTCAACAGAAACAAAACAAACAAACAAACACATTCTGACCATTAAAGGTAGGAATCCATTAAAGGCTGTAATCCATTAAAGGAGCTCTGGGATAAAATGGGTTGTCTAGACCGATTTCAGTCTGGTTCTCACCTGCTGTTGGCACAGAAAGAACTGAAGGATGGAATCCACTGCTGAAAGAGCCAGGGAGGATACCTTGGATGCTGTGTACCCCACTGCCTTGCTGTGGATGGTGGTCCTCCACTAGAAATGCTTCCAGTGCAGAGCTCCAGCATGGCTGCAGTCCTTCTGACCATCTGCCCAACGATGCTGGGACAGTGATTTCTGGGAGGGTGACCAGAAGTGCTTGTTCCAGGACATCCCCAGAGAGGCTCTAGAACTACACCAATCCAGAAGCTGTCATTCTCGTCTGTTGACCACAGTAGGGAGGAAAATGCTTCCACCCAGTTGCCGGAAAGACTCTTAATGTGGTGGCGTTTCTGCCACTAATTTCTCCTCTACTGCCCACAGTGTTGCACTGCTCTTTATTAGAACTCTAAATCCCACATTGTTTTCATTACCTGGACAGAATGCCGATTCGTCACTGGCAGACAACATACATTCACTTGTGTGTTCAATATTTACATTATCCCATGGGATTTAGAAGTAATGGATACTGATTGGTCACGGAGCAAATCACTTGTACCTCTTGCCTGTATGTACATGGTATCAACTCTGTCGGTTAAATGTATACAGTGACCACATTACATGCATTTTCAATTCATCTCATACTGAGGTGAATACATTCCACATCAACTCATTAAAAATAATATCACTGGTTCCTTAGCACTAGTGCTATTTGGTCACATATATAGGACCTTATACTAGAAAACACTATCCCCTATGTGAGACATAATGAAACATCTTTTTGATGCACAAGAGCAGAATTGTTTGATTCCACCCACTCCATGGGAACATGTTTCCAATTACAGCTATTTCCCCATTTCATTTTCTATCTCTGGCTAAAAAATAATCTCCTCAAAGGTCTGTGTAGTTACAAGTACTCATTTCTATCTCTTCACCTCAGCCCAGTATTTTAAAACAAATGAGAACACTGCCTTCCTGGTGGACTTTTGGAAGGATTGACTGCAAGTCCAGGCTTCTATTGATATTTAACCAACTGTTTCGTAAGGCATTGTTCCCAACATATATACCTTGATTGCAAGAACCAAGTGTTAAAACATTCACTCCCTCTGCAAAGAAAGTCTGGGCTGCTATTATGTTTGTATTTAAACTTAAGAGATACCTTAAATACTTTCGCCAAGAGGAATTTTCTGTGTATCTGATCTATAATTTGGGATCAGAAGTGTCACCTGACAGGTTATTCTATGATTTTTCCAACCTGTTCTTCCAGATTGGTTAACTAGAGATGCATACAGAGATTTGAGCTGTAGAGAGTATTAAAAAAGAGTCCTACTTGCATAGCAGAGTATACTGCGCTGAAGAGGCCTTGACAGAAACAAGTAAAGCTAACAAACTTTTAGGGTCAGAAAGTTCTCTAGTCTGAGATTTATAAGTACATACACATATGTAAAAATTAATAATTATTTCATACTTGGAGAATGTGGCAAAGGAAAAGATGCCAATTCTATGAGGTGCACAAAGATTAAAATTGTTCCGGACATACTGCTGTTTTTCCTCGACTCCAGTTGTTGTTTCTTCTTCATCTATCCTTAATTGCATGCACATGTATCAGCTTTCCAAGTTACTTCATACATCTGTTGAAGTGTGCTCTAGCCAGGAAAAGCCAGTGCCACCAAAAATCTGATTTTAGCCACAAACTGCCAAGTCCTGTGACACTTTAGAGCAGTGGTGCAGAACCTTCAGGTTGGGGGCCACATCTGGCCCTGCTAAGGTTCCTTAGGCAGCCGTGCCCCCTTCATCTGGCCCCATCACTGACTAATGAGCACTTGATGGTTCCTCAGCATTGCTGCAAGTTCCCCCCTTTCAAAAGGTTGAAGCACCTCTGCTAAGGCTGAACTGGGGGCAGTGAGAGTTCAGACATGTTGGTATTCCTTGGCTTTACCCCTTTTTGGCCTTTGGGCATGTTCCCTAGTAGAATGTGAACGCTCAAATCACCCTAAAACTGAAATTTGGCCCTTGGGCTAAAAAAGTTTTGGCACTGCTACTTAGGGTATAATCTTATGCATGTTTAGACAGGAAAGAAGTGTAACAGCCCCCATCATCCTTCCAGCCACTAATGTTGACTGGGGCATGCTGGGAATTGTAAGATTTTTTTCTTTCTAAACATGCATACCAATGCACACAATTGCACCCTTTAAGACTAACATGCGAATGCCTCTGGAATTTGCCTGCAAGACTAGATCTTCATTTGCAGCCATCATACTTAAATAGGTGGAGGACAAAAGTTGGATCCAACTAAAGCAGGTCTTAATGGCTAATGAAGAACAGTATTTGCAATATACCGTATTTTTCGCTCTATAAGATGCACTTTTTTCCCTCTCAGAAGGGGAAATATCTGTGCATCATATAGAGTGAATGTGTGTGTGCCCGACACCCGGGACGCTGCCGGCCCGCCTGCACCACGTGGCACCACCTGGCCGGCACGTGCTCGGCGCGCGCTGCTCCGCCCCCCCCCCGGCGCAGGTGAGAGCTGTGCCACTCAGGGGGAGGCGTGCAGAGGAGGAGCAGCCGCGGGCTTTAACCCACTGGCCACATGGAGAGATGGACTGCTCACCCCCACCGCCCGGGAAGACCACCGCCGCCGCCACGCCACCCGGAAGACCACCGTCGGCACGCTGCCGGCCTCATGTGGCACCACCTGGCCGGCACGCGCTCAGCGCGCCCTACTCCGCCCCCCTCCTCCGGTGCAGGTGAGAGCTGTTAATCGCAGGTCGGTGTGTGTTTTCAAATGGCAACCCGTCTTTTAATGAAGCCCATGGGGAAGTGATGGGGAATGTGCCTGTGATTATCAGGAAGCTTTCCATGGATCAGTTATCTGTTAGTTGATCAGACACATTTTTTTTAGGATCAGTGGATATTTGAACAGCATTACCTTCGTGTATGATGTTTATTCTTCAAAGGCTACTTAGTCCACTGTGTGTTTGATTTACCGTACAATATCTCATTTTTTGTCAGAAGTTTTTTTCTATTATTTACTAGTAGGGCAGCGAGGACATTACTGGCTTTTTTAGATTTGTTATTGAATAGTCTGCAGCAGCTCTTGTATAACTGGTGTAGATTGTGGTTTCCTTCAATAATTCCACTACTAAGAAAGTGACATCAGTGATTGTGAGCAACAGAGCTTCATAAATTCTGACTTTAGTGATGATGAGTTCTATGGGTTCAACAAAAACTAGAAGAGTACTCAAACTTTAAAGTCTTTCTTTTGTTAATGACAGTGATGATGGTTCTTAATGCCACTGTTGACTGCTGTTCACTTTACAAGGTTGAAATACGGTATTACTGTATTCTGTTATAGTTTATTAAATAGTTTAGTAAACCATTTGATTCAGAATATTTTTTTTGTTTTCCTCCTCTAAAAACTAGGTGTGTCTTATGGTCAGGTGCGTCTTATAGAGCGAAAAATACATTGGGAGGAGGAAGACGTAGCTTTGAACATTTAGTGTCAACATTAACTGAAACAAATACGAAGCTAAATTGAGCTTTATTTGAGGAACACATTTAACTCCAGTAAGTCTGAGTGCACTGAAGAACTCTCCCGGAGATAGTGAGTCAGTAATTCCAGGGTATCTGGGAGAGTGAGTAATCATCTTGTACTCTTGCTGGTGACAAAGGCACAGCACAGCATTTATGATTTGAAAGTTACACAGGAAGAGCGCTGTGCAGACATTCAAAACTATATGCAAGCTAGCAAGGGTGGGGACTGTAACCTTGACGGCACGTTAAGATACCTGTGACACACCCGGCCTGTATGTTTCAGAGATGATACTTGCATGCACATGCACCACCTCTGTTCCCCATTGCCTGATACATGGATGGCACGATTGGGGGGAGCCATACATGTCAGCCACTATGGAGACATGCCTTCCAATTCATGTTTGTATGTACTGTGAGGGCAGAACTGGTGCCTCAGTAATGCTTCTGTACCCTCTTACATATATTTTGAATAGCTGCAAGAGGAGTTATTACTGCGACGGTGGAATTCCTGGTCAGTGTTATATGTGGGCAAATTTGAAAAATTAATCTTCAGTGCATACCTTTAATTCAGATGACCTTGAAGGTCAATCAAATACGGCTAGCCAGCTGTGCAAAGACGCTCCCATGAGAACATAAATTTAACTTTCATTTAATTCTAGGGCAAACTCAAAAGGGTTTTTTTTATTATTTTTAGCAAATTCTATCATGTAAAGGTTAACATAAAAACATCTGTACATTTGCCATGATACACTCAAAAGTGAAACAAATAAGATATAAATACAGATATGGATGTAACATGACAAAAGCGCAAAAAATTAAAATAAAATAACCAACCCCAAAATAGAAATTAAATACATGCGCGTGAACACTGTGCCAACAAACTTGTTTCTGAAGGCTGACTGTTTTGAGCGGCTTTGTGAGCCTGCCCTTCCCATTTAGAACATTATTACTGTTAGCAAAGTCCTGCTGCATTCTACAAACATTTCTCTGTTCTCGTTTAATATGAACTATTACACTTGATAAATAAAGGGGCTGGAAGGGTAGTAGAAAGAAGATTTATATGACAATGTTGCAAGTTAGATTACTTATACAGGTTACTGAGAAGCTAGTAGGAAGCGATAGAAAAGTTTTGTTGTTGTTGTTGTTGTAATCCAGGCAAGCACACATAGTGTACCTTTTAAAAGAAAGCCACATGCCTCAGTTAATTCAGCACTACATGAGAGACCTACAGTACTTCAGAGGGTGAAGGGGTTGCAATGCTTTGCTTTGCTCGCTCATGCCCTGGCAACTCTGGTGCCCCACTGACACTATGGACGTCACCATCTAAGGCAACCCAACAGTAGGCAGGATGGTTCTGTGCGGATTCTCAGATATAAAGGCCTGGAAGGGGGAAGGGGTATGAGAAGATGAAGGAGGATACGAAGAAAAGAAACCTCTCTCTTTCAAAAAGTCTGAGAAGTTAAAGCCCTGCGAAAGGAGGCAGCAAGGAAAAAGGCAGCTGCAAACATTTGGACAGTGCTGGGAGAAGATGGAGCCCTCCCGATCTGGCAGCTGAAGCGCCAACAACATGCAGACTGATTTCCACCAGCATGTACGGATCGGTAGCCAGAGACCTTGTGCCTGGAATAGTTAAACGCACCCCACTACCCCAACTGTACAGCTTTAAAACAAACAAACAAGTTGGTGCAGATTGAGCTAGCCCTTTGAGTACTTCCTAAAAAAACAGGATCACATCTGATCACCGCGGGGGGGGGGGAGTGATTTGCTATGTACATTAAACACGAAACAGGATGATAAATAATCCAGACTGCATGGTGGCTGGAAGGGGTGGACATATTCCTGGAGTACTCAAAGGATGGGGAACTCTCGATGAACGTGGTGGGTGCTAACAGAACAAGCGCTGCACCAAGGAACATCTGCTGACAAACAAAAGCAGTATTTTATTAAGAAAGAAAGGCCTGGCTATCTGAGTTGCAGCTCCTAGAAAGCCAATCGAGCTCTGGAAAGCACAACTTTCTTACTGAAGACTGAAGCAGCAGTGATAGCATATTTCACATTTCTTAGGAGATGGGTTGTCAGTTCCTCTGATAGGGACAGATACTTCACCAGCTTAAAGACATTACAGTGCATTCACTCTCTCAGTGCATACTAACAGATGATGCTAGATAAAACGGTTACAGAAGGAATTCAATTCCCAGCAAATTCTGCAACAGAGCAGAGTTCCGTAAAGGAACAAAAAGCGGAGTAGGAACAAAATGAATAATGTAAGCAGAATTTCCTCTACATGAGAAGTGAGCATATTGCATTTTGCAATTGTTTTCAAATTTTCAAAAATACTGAAGAAACAAACAAGTTGAGGAGAAACAATTAACTGAATGGCTTTTCTGAGGCAGGTCTTCATTTAGCTATACAAATTGCTGAGGTTCCCAGGGAATTTCCATGACTTATCACATGCAGATTAAGGGATTATTAAATTAAAACCTAGTCTATTGGCCTGATCTTGTATCCTATACAGGTTTCTCCACATTGCAAATTTTAAGTTCACCTCTGGAATAATGTCTGAGATATTGGGGAAACCGGAGGAACTGTTAGTCAAAAGTCTGCCTAGTAGAGATGTCATCCAATATAAACCCAAACTCTCAGTACATAAAATCCCATTGATTAAATCACTGATGTGTTAAGGAGTTCAGGAAACTTCAGGTTTTAGAAATGCTAAGTAGATGATTGCAGTGTAAATGTTAACCATGGTTTTTTTACTGCCCTTTTTTGGAGGAGGACTGCAAATCCAGGCCTTGCTTCCTTTACATTCAATACCAAGAATATTCTACAATAAAAAGCTTTAAAAGGACTAAAAATACTGATTGCAATAAATATCTGCATGGCCTCCACTGGTGGAGGGAGCGTGCTGATGAAGGGAGGGTCTCTGAGAGGCACAGCTGATTGCTTCTGTGTCTACAGGTATGTCCAAAGATCTCCATTAACTGTGTGTGGAAACATCTGAAGATGAGCTGCTGTTGCTGTTGGTGGTCTGGGCCCTCTTTATGTACAAGTTCAGAAGCTTCATCTGAAAAGAGGGAAAAAGCAGTAGCATCCTTGTTTGATTGATTGCAGACTAAGTCATTCAGGTAACTGTCATGAATACCAAGGGATTAAGGGATCAGGGAGCCCCTGTTGTGGGTTTAGCATACTGCTGTTTACAGTATGGTAAAAGTTGCAGGTAGAGGAGCAGTACGATACAGACTATATTACTTTGGCTGATGTCATTCCACAGTCAAGAGATGCTCTGTACTTAGAGTGCACCAGATGGTTTGCTCATCAAGCATAAAGCCTCGTATGCTTTGGAGCTGGGACTCCAAAGTAGCCTGTAGCCCTTCAGATTGCTCCCAGATTCAGTTACATTTTTACACTAAATGTTTAGCCATAAACACACGCGTGCGCCCGCCCACCCCCACTCTGTTCCAGGCCTTGCATTGCCAGGCATGTTTGCGGGGAAGGGAATCCTGACAGATCAGGGATCGTGAAGGAGGTATGCAGGCCCTGCCCTGCCCTGAAAATGAGGCTTTTTCTGTGTGGGCTGGTTTAGTAATACTAGTCAGGCCTATTCTGAACCCAGTTAAGGATAATTTGGGCTAAGGTTGGGATGAACCTGAGCAGAAGCCATCACTGCAGCATTTGTGGACTTCCTCTCGTGCTCGGCCCGGTCTTCCACGGGAGCGGAGCTGAGAAGAAAGCTGCAAATGCTCGTAGAACAAAGGCTGTGCAAGTGGCAGCCTCCCTCCCCATCAGGCTGCTGTGAGTGGCATGGAAGAGCGCTGCTGCCCAGGAAGGGGTGGTGTGGGGCTCCATTCCTGGCAAGCCCCACTGACCCACCCACCCAACACAAAGGCTGCTGCAGGTGGCGCAGGAGGATGACCCTGCCGGTGCAGTGCATGGGGGGCAATTCCTGGTGAGTGCTCCACGAACGCTGAGCGTGCTCTCCAGAAACTCAGACTCAGGCCAGGAAGCTGAGGCCAGGGAACCCAACAGATTCTCACTCCCAGATTCCTCAAACATCCCTAATTTGGCCATAGTCAGTCTTCCTACAGTCCATAATGTTGGCTTCGTCAGATACAAAATGAGGAGAAACTTCCTATTAAACTTGTTTGCAGAAACGTATTTTTAAAAGAATTACTCTGAATGAAACACTCTTGATGTACTCATATCTCATCTCCTTATATTTGGAATATTTACAGCACTATTCCCAAAATTACTTGGTGCTGTGCCGTTTTGTGGCTATCACACCTGCATCTACTTGCATCTCCCCAAAAGTGCTGTGACACAGCAGAAGTCATAGCAGCGACACAGCTGGGAGCCCTTCTCCAGACATGAGCAAAAGTGGAAGATGTTCTCCATGTAGAAATCTAAGCATCTTCCAGAGTCAGCAACTAGTTGAGCTACAATCTTAGAATGTCTCGTGCCCTTCAGTAAGCAACTGCATATATGGGTGGGGCGTTCTGGCTGGGAGCTACCGTTGTTCTAAAGATGGCCTAATGATTGTGCTGAAAGTTACACGAACCCCCTCTGCATGCGGTTCAGATTCCAAAAGCCAGCTACACAGATCAGGGGATGCGCACATACCTTGCTCCCAGTGAGCTGTGCAAGGTGGGGTTTCAGCTCTTCACCGATAACTGAATAGATCGCTACGAGGCAAAAGACACTGGCTTTGCGAACACTGCTTTCTGTGTTGTCATAACCCTAGATGGAGGGGAGAGAAAGTGTCATGAGCCCTCATTTCTTCCAGTGCCATGAATGGGAAAGGTACTCACCTCCTACTCATCTCAAAAATGACTTATTGGACTATCTAGGTGTTAATGCATATAGGAAAAATCAGTGTATTGAATGCAAGGTGAAATTCAAATATTTCATTACAATAAATATTTATGAAATGAACATCAGTCTAACCCAAAGGAAAGTCAGACACATGATGAAGAAATGAAGCCTAGTTTTGTGCTGGTAAAATTAACATTTTGAAATGTTATCTTGCTACACTGACATAATCTTTCTTGCCCTGGAACTGGACAATGGCACCCTGTCTTTTCCCAGGAAACTTGCATCCTAGCTTCCCTGCAGCAGTGGCAGCACAATGAGATCTGTGGAATTTTGCCATAAATAATTAGTTTCTTTCTCTTTAATTTAAATTGGATGCCAGGCTTTTTTTCCCTTAAGATCAAAGAACAGTTGCCACAGTAGACAACATGTTAATTGGTAAGAAAGCACAAGACACTGTTTTTTTTTAAAAACTTAATGAACGACAAAAATGACCTATCTTGTATTCAAGAAAGGAAGACTCGGTGACATGTGGCAATACTTGGTGTTTCTAATTGCAGTAATTCCTGCATAATCACACCAATACCTGCAATGTCGGAGGGTCTTTCCAGAAAAAGTGAGCCATATCTTTACAGCCACATAATACCCAGAGATGGCAAAATGCCTGCCATGCTCAAGAGTAGGAGTAAAATGGCAGCCCCTGCACACAAGCACCTGTCTCCATATGTGCAAAATGCGCTGTTGCAAGGTTGCGGGCAGGGCTGGCAGTGGTCTGCTGTCTTCTAGTGGAGAAGCAGGTCATTCCACTTCAGAACTTTAGCTAAGGAATCTCCTGAAGGCCAAGTTATATTTGCCTGGGACAAAAGCTGCCCCTCTTTTTGCATTTCATAAAGAACATTCTCTTTGAGCACAGAAACCTCCACTTAAGAGCAACCACCCTGAAAAACCCTCCCAGCTCTGACGGACAGCAGTATTACTAATTCTAAGCTAATTAGTGCCCGGGAAAGGGAAAAGGAGCTAAAATGTGAGGCAGGAGCAAGTGCTGCAGGATGGCATTCCAGTTCAGTAGGCCAGCCAGCTGGGTCAGCCCCAGGGTACTTGATTCGGTTTCCCCACCCAGATTCTGCTACTGTCCCCACCACAAAGGCTCTCTCATTTGGTGAAAGTGGAACTTTTGTGGTCCTTAGTGGGCTGTTTTTGGCTTTTGTTTATACTTGTTCTGCTCCCTTGGGTGGTTTAAATGCTGGAAAATGTGGCATAAGAGTAAAGCTTCGAAGAAATATGTATTGATCACACATCGCAACCAATAGCTGTGCAATTATTGTATTGAAAATGCTTCCCAGAAAGGCCCTGAGAGAAAGAAAAGAGGAATGTGCTTGTGCCCTGGTTGAGAGTGACCTCTGCTGGGAGTATGTGACAAATGCCTCCAGCCTACAGACCCAGGAACTCTGCTGCTGTTGGCCACTAGGCCACACTCAGTGTGGGGTGGATGCCGTATTTATGAAGCAAGATGAGGAGAGGTCCATTTACAAATGGGAGAGAAGTATAAAATGTGCATGTTTTCTAAATTTGCATTTCTACGGCGGAAAACCATTAAGGGTCCAATTCTGGGCTTTGCTCCCAGGCTTCCATCTTTGAATGCTCTGAATTCCTGGCTTGACAACTACAATATTTCAATATGTTCTCTTAGTCTGTTAAGGCAGTACTATAGAAACAGATGAAAAGTCCTTATAATTAGGCACAAGAGCAGAACATGCCTTGCTAAAAAGGATAACTAAAAGGACCATGATAACTATGTCTTATTTTAATACATTTTTGACAAGTTTGATTTATACAGTCTCATGTCTTCCTTACACTATTTTTTATTTATAGGATTTCCCCATCCCTAAAATCTACGTACTATGTCAAAACTGCATTTTTAAATGACCAGGAAAAAGGCATCAATAATATTTTTAAAGGTGTGACACAATCCAGTGAGTCTCTCAAGTCCTGGTTTAACCTCGCCTTCTACTACAGGACTTGCAATGTTTGGAAACTTTGCCACTCCCCCTTTTTTCTCAGAGCTGAAACCCTCTGATGGCATGCGCCTCCATCAGTTCTCTGCTTCATTCTGTTAAGATGGCCTTTCATTGCTACTCTGATGTGTTGCGCTTCTGTTCTCAGAACGAAATACAGTCACATGCAATAGTGAGGCATTAGAGGGCCACAAAGCATGACTCTTGAATCTCAAGGGAAGGGGCACCTGTAAGAAAGTGACACTCCAGAAGCCACCTTCCCTTGCAGAAGCTTGTAGAGATGTCCTCCCGTTGACATTATTTCTTTCTGAGAGCAGAATTCCAGGTGTGGGCTGCACTTGCCAAACTGATGCATGGATAATTTGCACAGTGATTTTGAGAATGGGGCTGCGCTCATGTTCTGCCTGTGGATCCTGTGGCTGAAGGGTTGGCCAGTACGTGCGCATAATGCCAAGGAGGGGCTCTGATCCAGCATAGCTCTAATCTTCTTACAGCATGCCGTGCTTTTTATGTGTATTTGAATGTGAGCTCGTATTTTGGAATACGCAGACTTTTCTAGAAAGAAAGTGTTGCTTGTGTGCAGGATTGTTAAGAGGACACAGTTGCATGATGTGCTAACCAAATACGCATGTGCTCCCCACACAGTACTCAAAAGACAAGCCAGGTAGCCTGTGTCTCCAGACAGCCATCTTCCTCCAACAGGAAATTACTCAATCTATTTCTGCAGTTCTACTGAATGCAAAATATTGCAGACATCAGCCTGATAAAGTAGTTGCTTCAGGTTTCTTTATAATGCTGGAAATTTGCCGAATACATATAGAAACCAAGTGATGCTCAAAAACTGTATTTAAAAGCTTCCTCTCAGCCATGCTGGGAAAACAGTCAAGAAAAACTGATTGAATTAGTAGCTCAGGATAAATGCCATTCTCTACGCAAATGTGTATAACTCAGGGCCAAGATGTTTGGAAAAGCAGCCTCAGGAGGCTGTGATTTGAATGGTGTGTATCAGGGGGAAGGGATGCTTAACTGTTTCACCAGTAGGCAATTTTCTGCTTACAATTATCTGCTTGTAGAGTTTTTTTAAAGGTTGCTTTAGGGCCTCACTATGGTTCACTATGTGTAGCATGTACTATATAACTTTCCCTAGAGGTAGAGCCTGGAAAAGAACTACGAATTCCAAAGGGCACCAAGTTGTTTTGTTTTGCATCATCTGAACTGTAATCACTCACTCACGAAAACTAGGCAACTCGGCGGGGGTAACCAGCATTTACAAGGAGACAAACTTGTAGATGGCATCAGATTCAAAGTATGGATTGCCGTTGCAATTATATTTGTAGAACACACCAAAGCATTGATTCAGCGGACTGAGGGAGGAAGGGAGCCGGGACAGCAGTGTAAAAACAGCACATCTCCCTTCACTGCAGATTGTGAGTCCTGCGGAGTGCTGCCCGAGTGCATGAAGGTGTGGAAGATAGCTGCGTAAACCGTTTTAGGTGAGATTGATCTGGGCAGAGGAGAAGACCTGCTGCTTCTGAATGGCAAAGCTGCTTGGACATCACATGCTATTTCGGGCAAGGAGAGATGCTGGTGAGTCAGCTGGGACTCTGCCAGAGTTCCCTGTTATAGCATGGCTCTTGTCCACCCAACGCAGGGCTGTGCCTCCAAGGCATAACCTAGCTCTGACCTTGTACAATAAGATCTGTGTCTAGTAATTTTCAGAGGAAAGAGATCCAATAAAATGTAGCTGCCAAGTTCACCATGCTCTTTGAGGCACAGGTCAGGAGCATGCAATTCACTCTGGCTACTGTAGTCTGATTATACTCATAAAATCCACAAACAGTCTTTAAACCTTCATAATCTAGCACTGCCGATTCCAAGCATGATCAAAGTGAACAAACTGAGCATTATTTTCCATGGATATGGTACTAACCAGGATTGCTCAGATTGACGTCTGGCACCAAATCACAAGAGATCTTAAAAAAGTCTTGCCTGAAATGGAAATGTCCAAAAAGCCAATCTTTCAAAAGGTCTGTAGGCACAGATCTTTGTAGGTTTCCCGAGGCACAGTATGCCTATATATGTGTGTATGCCTATATATATGCCTATGGGGAACAGCAGAAGAGACCCTGTTTCATCCCCAGCTGATCTTATTTTGTGTTTTATTTCTTACTACTGAAAAACCAGCTTGCTCTGAGGAGAAAGCAAGCAAGTCAGAGCAGTCCTGGTGAGAGCAGACTTGCCATCCATTTTTCCCTCAGTGGCCCCTCCCTGCCTCTCCAGCCAGCTCAGGGCCACTGAGAACCAGCCTGCCCTGAGGCGGAAGAAGAACCTGTCCTCAAATAACCTGACTGAAAAGAAAACACAGTAAGATCAGGCCATGCCATATACTGAGACATTAAATTACTCCCTGAGAAGCATGAAAGAGAATTGGGTGCAAATGATTACATTTAATCCCAGAGATGTATGTCATTTAGTGTTTTTATGAACTTTAATGTAGGCTGCCTTAAGCACTTTACTGGATAGTTGATTCATAAAGCAATCACTCAATTACAGTTATGAGTATCTTCTAGATTTCAGGAAATCATTTCTAAGCAGGGACATCCAGCAGTTCTTAAAAGGCTGGGTCATACTTCTGAGTGCTGCCAGAGCTATGCAGGGCCTAGGCTCCCTCCCCACCAAACCCCCCCCACACCTTAAATTGCAGCTGGATGGATGAAAGCATAATTCAAGAATAGTCACAAGCATCACTACTGCAGTGCAGCTTCTCTCTGCCTTGGATCCATAACTATCTGGCAGTCTGAACTTTCTAGACTGTGTAACTTGGCATGCTTAGAATGCCTTTCCCTACCCTGAGAATACTGAAAGGATCCAGTTTTGTTTCCATCCTTCTCCTGAACAAGATAAAACTTCAATGAAATATCAGTGGAAGCCAGTAAAGGAAATGCAAGTTTCTTCTTGTACATTTGTTTCCCCATGCCAGGAAAGTGCAGGCATGACTAGGAACTCAAAGATTAGTGGGAAATGCATGCCCTGGAGGTTGTTCAAGGTAGCAGCAAGAAAAAGATGGCTTGTCCATTGCCCTTCCAACCAGGGTGAGTTGTATTAGCATTCTTCCTAAGAACAAACTGTGCCCTTTATACTGACCTGAACCAAGTTCCCATTGCCTTCTTTCATTCCATTCAGTTGAACAGCACTGGACAGCAGTCCACGCCAAGACATACTAGCTAGAAATGGTTATTCATGCAGCAGGCAGCAAGGTCATACCTGCAACAACCCAGGGATGATGTCTTGAAGGAGCTGATGCAAAGACTCCTTTGAGATCCTCTCAATGACTTTTGTCTGCATTTTAATAGCGGCCAGGTTGATTGGGTAGTCAGCTGTTTGAATGATGGGGCACAGCACTTTGATGCACTGTTCCGGGTGGATGGAGCTGGCCAGAGTAGAAGCGGCTTCCTCAGCAGCTCTCACAACCTGGATTGAGGGGGATGCAAAGGGGAAAAGGGAATTTATATAGTAAAAACATGTGCTTTAAAGAAAACGCACACACCTGCATGCCTAACTACGCGTATATAGTCATGGGCACGATCAGCAAGGTCAACACTAAGGCTTCCAAACCACGTTGTCTTATTGACAGCCACACAGCCTGGCTGTTTTGAATCGATTTTCTTGTGAAACCAGTGACAGTCACAATGTGCTGCTGCCTCTGTTAATAGCATGGAGCACAGGGGGACCTTTGGCTTACAAAACATGCCAAAACAAATAAACTGTGCAGGATAATGTACTGCTAAAGACAGCAGTAAAGAGAAGGTTGAACCTCAGTTCTTCAATGCCACTGATTTGTTGTAGGTTGGTTTATTCTGCATTTTGGGATCTTATGGAAGTTGCACAGATTTTCACAGATGCCTTTTACAGTAAATGGAAAATATTCACACTGTTATTTCTCTTAGAAAGTGAAAGGAGGATTAAAAATGTATTAGACAAAAAATTGTTTGTGCTGGAATTTGTCGATGGTGAATTCAAACCCAAAGCATTAGGCTGTATTCAAACATGTATCATAAAGTAACTCCCCATCCCCCAAATATTAACATATGTCTACTAGCTGTGTGGGTCAGGCATGGTTCTAAAGACTGTTTCACCAAAGGGATGAAACAACTTGAAAATGGGGATAATTTGCCTATCTCTGTACTTCACTCAAAAGATGGAAGGCCACAGAGAGGTTTAAAGCCGGAATATAAAACCTGCACCACACCAAGGGCTGCATGTGCTATTTGGAGGGGGGCCTCCCATCGCAGACCACAAGCTGCATGCTGCCCACCCCTGGTTTAAAACATACAGATGGTTTTGTGGGACTGCCTGTAAGTGCAAGATATTTCTCCACATATCTGAACATAAACAGATGTCTGGAGTGGGTACACGTCTTTACTGCAACTTGTCAAAAAACATAAACCAGAGGTAGATGAGAGCAAAAAGTTTTGAGGCAATGTAAGCACCATGCATAGTTTTAATAGACTGTCACAACTGCATAGCACCCCGCACCCCAGTGAAGAAATGTGGTTTGGGCAAGATGAAAAGTATTGGAGCTCTTGGAGAGGCAAGCTTTCCCATTCGCTGGCGGACTGCATTCAGAATGAAAATGACAAGGGCACAGAGTCAAGGTGAGGCAAGAAGAATGTACACTTGGGAGAAGTCTGCCAATAAAGGCACTCCTTTAGAACAAAATGTTTTGTCCAACTGCTTTATCTGGAAATCAGTTTACAACTGCTGCTAAATGCGGTTACAAAAAAACTAATGTCATAGGGAGACTCTGGTTCCAAGAAAGTATAGTACAGACATGCTGATTTATTAAACGGATTAAATATTTTCTAGCCCTTTTAAAAAAGACAATCTTTACACATTTTGTTCCCATGTTTGCTTGCTTAACCGGATAGTACCACCTTGCATTTCAAGCCATAAATCTGCACTGGCTACGCTGCTATACCCTGCAGCCTGGCTGTCTGTTGCTCCCATTTTGTGGCCAAGAATTCTCCCATTTTCTGTTTTAGACTCAAAGGGTCTCACCATTTACTTTGAAGTTACCATACTGCGCTCAGTGGTGTAAGATTAATTCCAACAACTTGAGTGAGCTAAAGGTGATAAACCTACACAGGCCCCAACGCAGGAGGAAACCTTGCTCAAAACTCTGAGAGTTATTTCTCCACTAATCCACATACTGTCATGCTGTATGTATATGAACCATGATGCAGGACTGAAGTTAATGACAAGATATATTGAGAGAAGATACATTGTAGGCTAAGGAGAAAAGATAGGGCACTTAGAAGAGGGAAGATTCCAGCGGCAAGTCTGCAGAGGTTTACCCTGTGTACCACCCATGCTCTGGACCTTTTATCAGTCCTGCTGGTTTTAGAAGGGCAGGGAACCATTTTCTCATGGAGGGCACCAAAACAGTTTATCAGAGAGTACAGCTGATGACTGGCCAGAACCCACACTAAGAAGGGTTTGCAGCAGTGCTGAGCTCTTCGTGTCTATCGATCCCATACTCCCCCTGCACTACCACTCTGATGTGAAAGAAGAGGAAAGAAGGAATTCCAAGAGTGGGCCACAACCGGGGATGTGAAGGCTCAGGGGAAGAAAAAAGAAAAATCTGTGGAGGGGAACTTCTTTTCCCCATCCCCTCCCAAAAAATCCCCCCCCCCAAAAAACCTTTTCGGTTTTTTCTGTTTTCACATCTTTAGCCACAGCATCTTAAGAATAACATGAGGTTGAGAACCATACACAATTGCACAAAAGCAAAAACTCTATAGTGCAATGTTAGCAAAAGTGCTGTCAGCTTGAATACACTGTCTGAAAATGGTCAGCTGACCTCTTGTACCAACAGATACGTACCAGACCCTACAACGTTCTTCTCATCTAGATTAGTCTACCAGTCTGATCAACACTACAGATTCTCTAATCAGGGTCCACTTTAACAACAGGCAGAGATAATAACGTGCACAGAAAAAAAGTGTGTGCCAGAGACTGCTGAATAAAAATACATCAGTAACAAAGAGCATGACATCACAATGTCATGCTCAATGGAGACAGAGACCGAATAAATTCTGACTCTTTCCTGTGGCCATTTCCATATGTGCTTGACTTCTGTCCTAAGGAATTGATTATGTATTGGATGGCCCTATTTCCTGTTCATTGACTTGAAGCACCACAGCACAAATCCATATCTTTGTCATCTACACCATTTGTCATCCATTATCATTGGATCACAGTACAGTAGAGTTGGAAGGAGCCGGAGGGCCACTGGGTCCAACCCCCTGCTATTGCAGGATACTACATTAAACCATCTCTCTCAGATAGCTGTCCAGTTACATTTTGAATGCCTCGAGTATGGAAAAGCCCACAGTCTTGCTAGGTAATTGGTTCCACTGTCATACTGCTGTAATGGCTAGGGATTTTTTTCCTGATATCTAGCCAGAATCTGGTTGTCTGTAAATTGAATCCATAATTCTGTCTCCTGCACTCTGGGATGATCAAGAAGAGATCCTGTCCTTCCTCTCTGTGACAGCCTTTCAAGTACTTGTAGGGTACTAGCATATCTTCCTTCACTTTTCTAGAGAGTAAACATGCCCAGTTCTTTCATAGGGCTTTGTTTCCAATCCCCGAATCATCCTTGTTGTCCTCCTCTGAACCCTTTCTAGCTTGTCTGCATCCTTCTTATCCTGTGGTGCTCAGAACTGGACACACTACTCCAGATGAGGCCCAATCAGTGCTGAGTAAAGGGGAACTAGTACCTCATGGAATTTGGAAGTGATACTTGTATTAATGCAGCCTAAAATAGCCTTTGCCCTTTTTGCAGCCATATCACATTGTTGACTCATGCAGTTTCCATCCCAGTCCATGGACATCAACATAAACAGACAGGGCCTTAATACACCTTTTATCACAGTCTTAGACCAATGCTGTTTGTAGGGAATGACTACATTCTGCTTTCTTTCTCAGGATGAAAGAACAGTAGAGCATGGTCTACACACCTATATTATATTTTAATAGTATTCCTTAGCACAGAACATGTTTGCTGCAACATGTTTCATTTAGGGCAGCCAAAAAACTGTATCTTTCAATCTTTGACCTCTGAGTACCAAAAGGGTCAAGAGAATCCTCTTGACAACAAACCCTGGAGAACAGAGTCTTGCTTGGGGTTGCTGCGACACTGTCCACACCCCAAGCAGCAACAGCAGAACCTGAATTACCTCTTTGTGAGAATCTTTATGTGCTTCCAGAGTCTTCATGATAGTCAGTTCAGCATAGTTCTTAAATCTTGCAGGCTGATTCCTCAAGATTTCTCGCAACACTCTCAATGCCAAGGCTCTTATCGAATGCTAAACCAAAAGAAACAGCACATGTTGAAGTAGAGATTATATAGTCTGTCAGAATCACAAACACAAGATGTCTGTTGCTTGGACTGGAAGCAACACCAGCACACAATTTATATTTTGGTAAAAACAATCCTCTAGATCATGGAAGGGGAGGGTTAGGATTGCGAGAACCTGCACAGCAATGAGAACCCAGCATCCGTGCATCACGGGTCTTGCCTTCAAAATGCAATAATGTATTTGCATGAGAAGCAGAGAGATGCTAATAAGCAACGTGCAACCTTCCAGTCCTATTTTTCTGCTGTGGATCTGTTAATCCCACAAGTGAAAGGTTTACTCCTCCAAACAAAAACAGAAAAAGCTTGTGGTGTGCAACATTTTCAGGTAGCAGAAATAACTTGGTTCTTCTTTTCATGTGCCACATGGTTTCTGGTCTTTCAGGGTATCTTACCATCATGTTCTTACATGTATTATTTCAGCTATGAGGGGAGAGGTTGCAACTTTCATTTTAAAATACAGGGTAGAATTTCCTAGTTTCTAGCAATGCCACATTAGCCCTTGATCTAAGAGAATTGTAAAGAATTGTGGAGAATCTTGAGAGAAAAGCCAGAAGCAATCTATCATATATGAAGTTCTGATATATTCTGCAAACACAGCTGAATGCAAAATAATCCATTCGATTTCTTTGATAAGGATACTGAAGCTCTGTAAAGATCAATTCAAACTCCTTTGAATTTTTTCTGAATTCTGACCAATGATTGTAATTCATATAGCAAACTCAACAAGTAGTCCACATATAATTCTAGATTTCTTTTGGAAATCACTACTGCAGTTCTCATAATTCAGTTTATTGGCACCCCAGCCCTAACTTTCACCAACGCCTTTACACTGGAAGGTTATTATTAGTGAGAATATGAGAACAACTTCTTAGGTTATGTAACTGGTGGATTGTGTTTCTGGATGACAGCCATTCCAAACAGCGCCTGCAGTTTCAACAGAGGAGTATTTAGCTTAACTCACTCCAGTCGGAACTTTTTAAGTACATCCTGATGTTTTTGTATTCACCTGTGCAAGTCATGTGCTAGCACATGACTTGTCTCCTGATTAAATCTCCCAATGCTTCATCGATAGTAACAGCTATTTAGAAACGAATACAACAAATTCTGTTGGTGGCTTTCAGAATCCTGTTTTACTATTTAATGGCATTTCCATGTTATAAATGGATGAAATATGAAAAACCTCAGAAGTATTGAGTCAATAAAGCATCCATTGATAAGAGGTTACTTTTTCAGTTGTTTTCCTTTTAGGGAATGGAGGGTAAAAACTGATTAAATATTGATTACAATCAGTGATTTTCTCATGCAATATAAGCCAATTCAATCAGGGTTTTTGTTGCATCTAAGAGGGATCTAATAATCTGTTCAAACTACATCTGCAGGTGTAACAAGGTAAGGTCTGGCTGAAACTCCATATCTAACCTACAGAATATCTAGTATCTGCAGTGAATAAGTAGGGCAGGGAATATAATACTTGTTGGCTTGACACCACTACTTCTTGTACTTGTGGGATGACCCATACCAAAAGCTCCAGAAGCAAGAATGTCCACTTCCTCTCAGAAGACAAGAAAAGAAAATGATAAATAATACACTTGCTCTGATTTACTATATTTCATTTTTGTATTTTGTCTTATGTTATGAACTGCCTGGAGAGCGTAGCTGAAGAAGTAAGCAAACAAAACAGTGTTAAAGTAGGTCTGACTTACTTAAATAAACAGACAGAAGTCAGAGCAGGAATGACTGCATTTATCCAAAGGGCAATTATAATCAAAGAGTTTAAAAATGGTGCAGTTATTCTTTAATATTAATATTCATCATACCACCAATCCAGATCTACCACTGTACTGCTAGACCTTTAGCTATTGGCATAACCTCATCCAGAGCCAGCTCCCCATTTGAAAGTCCAGGCAAAACTGCCTGGGCTCCTCCCTCTGCTGCTGGACCAGAAAGACTTACCTGGCAGCACTATTTATTTATTATTTATTATATTTATACCCCACCTTTTTCCTTTCAAGGAACTCAAGGTGGCTTACATGTTCCTGCTTTCAATCTTATCCCCACAACAGCCACCCTGTGAGGTCGGCTGTTCTGAGAGTCTGTGACTGGCCCAAACTCACCCAGTGAGTTCATGGCTGAGTGGGGATGAGCACCCCAGTCTCCCAAGCCCCAGACCCACTCTCTTAACCACTACACTGCTAGATGGGTGGGGACTGCCAGTCTGATTCTCCACATGCTACTTTGGGTGCATGTAGGGAATGAAAACGACAGCTTTACCAAGCAGCCACTACTGTTTGGAGCACTGGGCCAGAGGTTTATTTTATGTTTTAAGAGAAGTCTGTGGCAAACCTCACCAGTGGGCCACGGTACAGCTTTGGGGTTCTAGCAGCTACTCAAGGACTCTACCTGCGAATGCCAGCCTTACAGCCAGCAAAGGTTTTGGACAGTGTGCGTATGCAGTGTTCGCATCACACAGATTTAGCAGGTTTGGGAACAATATATGCTGCAGAAAGCATATGTCCCTGTCCCTCCTGTCCCTCCTTCTGATCCTGCCCCCAACCAGAGGGCGCCAGGTAGCCTTGTCAACCACCCCTCGGGTCTGACGGTGCTGCTGCTCAATGCCAGGTCGATCAATAATAAATCTTCCCTCATCCATGACTTGATTGTGGATGAGGGGGCCGACCTGGCTTGCATAACGGAGACCTGGGCGGGAGAGGGAGGGGATGTTGCCCTCTCCCAGTTGTGCCCGCCCGGGTATCTGGTTCAACACTGTTCACGCCCAGAAGGGAGGGGAGGGGGAGTCGCGTTGGTTTACAGAGCCTCCATCTCTCTCACGGGTCTTCCGGTCCCTTTGAGACCAGGGCTGGAGTGCCTCTACTTGGTGTTGGGCGAACGAGACAGATTGGGGATTCTATTGGTGTACCGTGCACCTTTCTGCCCAGCAGTCTCCCTATCTGAGCTGACAGAGACCGTCTCGGACCTGGTGTTGAGGACCCCCAGGATGTTGGTCCTGGGGGACTTCAATCTCCATGCCGAGTCTGGACTGACCGGGGCGGCTCAGGACTTCATGGCCTCTATGACGGCCATGGGCCTGTCTCAAAACGTCACTGGCCCTACCCATGAACGTGGACACACTCTGGACCTGGTATTCACGACGGGGCAGGTAGAGGATGACCTGAGGGTGAAGAACTTATGTTTGACTCCCCTGTCATGGTCAGATCACCTCCTGGTGAAGTTTGTGCTCGAGAGCGGCCTCTCCCTCTATAAGAGTGCAGACCTGGTTGTATGGGCCCGCCCCCGGAGCCGGATGGATCCGGATGGATTCCTGGGGGCCCTGGGGGAATTTCCGGCTGACAAGACTGGTGCTCCTGTCGAGGCTCTGGTCGAACTGTGGAACGGAGAGATGACCAGGGCTGTGGACACAATCGCTCCTAAGCGTCCTCTCCCACCGGGCAGAGTCCGCTCTTCCCCTTGGTATACACCTGAATTACGGGCGATGAAGCGAGTTGGGAGACGGCTAGAGCGTAGGTGGAGGAAATCACGGGATGAATCTGACCGAACACACTTGAGAGCTCACTATCGGGCCTATGCTGTGGCGGTGAAGGCGGCGAAAAAGAAGGTTTTTTCTGCTTCCATTGCCTCCTCACAATGCCGTCCAGCGGAGCTTTTTCGAGTGGTGCAAGGCCTGGTTCGCCTGGGTCCTAAGGAAGATCCGATGCCACCCTCAAAGGCCCGCTGTGACGACTTTGCCAGGCATTTCAGGGAGAAAATCGCTCAGATTCGTCACGAGCTGGACTCCACTAATGAATCAGAGGTCTCTGAGGAGTCGCCAATGCCACCGTCTGGTCCAAAATTACTGGAGGAATTTCAATTATTGCGGCCCAATGATGTGGACAAGGTGCTTGGAAGAGTACGTCCCACCACGTGCCTATTGGATCCTTGCCCGTCTTGGTTAATAAATAACTCCAAGCACGGGATTGGGACCTGGATTTTGGAAGTGGTTAACGCTTCTCTGAGGGAGGGTCGAGTGCCTGCCCCTTTAAAGGAGGCGGTAATACGACCGGTCCTGAAGAAAGCGTCACTGGATCCAGAGATGGCCACTAACTATAGACCTGTGGCCAACATCCCGTTTCTGGGCAAGGTGCTGGAGCGAGTGGTGGCGGGACAACTCCAAGCACTCTTGGAGGAAACTGATTATCTGGATCCTTTTCAGTCCGGCTTCAGACCCGGGTACAGTACTGAATCTGCCTTGGTCGCCCTGTACGACGACCTGTGCAGGGAGAAGGACAGGGGGAGTACATCCCTGTTGGTTCTTCTGGACCTCTCGGCGGCTTTCGATACCATCGACCATGGTATCCTTCTGGATAGACTTGCGGGATTGGGGGTTGGAGGCACTGCTTTGCAGTGGTTCCGCTCCTATCTCGACGGTCGATTCCAGAAGGTAGTGCTGGGGGACCATGTCTCTACGTCATGGCAGCTATGCCATAGGGTACCACAGGGCTCCATTCTATCCCCTCTGCTATTTAACATCTATATGAAACCGCTGGGAGAGGTCATCAGGAGGTGTGGGCTGCGGAATCATCAATACGCTGATGATACCCAGCTTTACCTCTCATTCTCCACTAATCCAGGTGAGGCAGTGGCTGTGCTGAACCGGTGCTTGGCCGAGGTAAGGGAATGGATGAGGGCCAATAAACTGAAACTCAACCCAGACAAGACGGAGGTCCTGTTGGTTGGCGGATCGGGTTTCGGAGAGGGTGGATTTGACCTGGTCCTGAATGGTGCAACACTCCCTCTTAGGGATAAGGTCCGCAGCTTAGGTGTACTCCTCGACCCGGAGCTTTCTTTGGAAGCTCAGGTGACAGCGGTAGCGAGGAACGCCTTCCTTCAGCTTCGGCTGATTAATCAGCTGCGCCCCTACCTGGAATACGACTGCCTGGCGACGGTGACACACGCGCTGGTGACTTCCCGCCTAGACTTCTGTAACGTGCTTTACGTGGGGCTTCCCCTGAAGACAGTCCGAACACTCCAATTGGTGCAAAATAGAGCTGCCAGGTTGCTGACGGGGACGGGGCGTTATGCTCACATGACTCCAGTCCTCCATCAGCTTCACTGGCTTCCCATTGAAGCCCGGGCCCAATTCAAGGTGTTGATTATGACCTACAAAGCCCTAAACGGCTTGGGTCCTGGCTACCTGAACGAGCGCTTACGTCCGTATATGCCCGACCGCCCTTTGAGATCTGCGGGAGAGTCCCTTCTCCGGGAACCCTCCATGAAAGAAATTAGGAGAGTAAGTACCCGGAGGAGGGCTTTCTCTGCGGTGGCGCCCAACCTATGGAATTCACTCCCCAAAGAGGTCCGCCTGGCACCGTCGTTACTGGTTTTTCGGCGCCAGGTAAAGACCTTTTTATTTAAACATCATTTCAATTGTTAAAACATATGATCTGGCCTGGGCAACTTCTTCTTCCTTCTCTTTCTCCTCCTATATTTTTATTTTATACTGATAATTTTAATTTTGTATTTGTAAATCAATGTATTTTTTGTATTGTTATATTTAATGGTAATTTATTATGTACTATTGTATTTCAATGTATTTTATCATGTTGTAAGCCGCCCCGAGGTTTCGGCAAGGGGCGGCATAGAAATGTTATTATAATAATAATAATAATAATAATAATAATAATAATAATAATAATAATAATATGACATCTGAAAGCACCATATGGATGCTTTTAGAAGGTTAAGATTCACAAGGTGTACACAATAATATGTCAATGTCTTACATCTTTGTCTCCAAGTGTTTCAAGCAATAAAAGCAAGATGGTCTTGAAGTGCTCTTCCCAAACTCCCAGGTTATCTTCCCTTGTAATCTTCAGTAGCTCAAGAAGGGCCCCTTTCCGTTCTTCTACCCGCTCGTTGTGGTTGGATAATTCTTTTAAAAGATCAGCCACCAAATCGGAATGATCAATGGGCACTGATGGAACAAAGGAAAGGTGGGTCACTCCACAGTAAGGACAAACTAGCAGAACTGTAGACATATCTGAGGACAGGAGGTATTCACAGTATTTCTTTCTACAGCATCTATAAACACAATTTATCTCCAGTGCTTTGATCACACAGGTTTCCGTAGAACATCAACATAGTCAGCCTTTAACAGCAGTTACTCTGTTATCACCATACTCCTATAAAGCAAATCTGCTTGGCAGAGACTGTTCATGGCACTTCTCATATTGCTTTTGCAGTCACCTTAAAGCAAAGAACAGCGTTGCTCATGTAGCAGAGTAGATCTTTGCTAAGCTGATCTTAGCACCAACGTAAGCGGAGGCATCCCTTTACAGAGTGTCCAGGCTCTGGCCTCAGTCTCAGAGTGGGCAGACAAGGCTCAGCCCAAGCTTGCTATGCCACCAACTGAGGAGGCAGACCATGCTTGGGTACTTTGCCAGAGCCTGCTGAGAAGCAGCCAGGACCCTCACGAGGAGCCAAATGCCCCCCATGCTGCTTTGCTGGGCAACTGGCAAGGAGAGCACACTAGGGGGAATGCCTAGCAAGGAGGAGAGAAGCAGAATCCCGAACAGTCTCAAATTCTCCAACAGTGGGGGTGGAGCACAGGAGAAGAGGACTGGAAAGACAGGTTCAAATGGACTCAGTTCTCTTCCCATCCCACTGGAGGAAATTGCTCACTTGGAACTGTCCACAGGGCTGGAACTGACCGTTTGCCTTGCCTCCACCATGCTTTGAGGGCTTCTTGGCAGAACTAGGCCAAAATACGCCGAAGCACCAGGTGCTGGCTGATCACTGGAGTAAGTGAAAGGATTTGACTTTTGCCCTTTATCCCTGATTTCCATTCACAACTTAGATACCCTTAATAGGAAATTGAACCCCTATATTCCAGTTCTACCCTGACTGAACTATATGGTCAATCTGGTTAATTATATGGTCAAACACAGCTCTAAAAGTTGTGGTCCTGGACACACTTGAGCATGGCTGAGTGGATAAATGTCTACAAGTAATCTTGAAGGACCTGTGCTCATCCCCTGATGTGGAAGAAAGGCACAGCCTTATGCTGTATCCCTCAGTGTCTGGTGGTTCTCCATAATCCCTAGAAGGGCTATGATGGAGGGAAGGTTTTCCATGAAGCTGAGGCAACTAGAGCTAAACTTAAATCTTTCAGCAATTTCCCTTTTGTTTGAGTTTAAACAGGGATGGGGCAAAAGGAAGAATGAAAGTGAAAACATTGGGGGAAAACAGATAAAAAAAATTGTGGCAGGAGGCTTAGTGAGACAATTTGTGGTGGCAGTAGCTGTGGTTTTTTTTCTTTCTGCATTCTCTTATTTTTAGCTGGAACTGGCAGCTGAGCTGTAATCGTTAGTCCAACGACTCACTTGAAATGACACTGTATCATGGCATGGGAAAAAAGAGGGTGCCTGTCCCCGTCACTGGCCAGTGAAGGCCACTCTCCGCCCCCGCCCCCCGCCCCCTCAATCAATGCTTCCGAAGCAGTGCTACATCACAATGAACAGGGATTCCAAGTGAATGGATACTGGGTGGCTTGACAAGCCATTGATGACAGTGGCAGAGCAATCTTACAGAGAAAGAAGGAGAGAGAGAGAGAGAGAGAGAGAGAGAGAGAGAGAGAACGAACAAGGGAGGTGCTGCCACCACTGAACAGTTTTACAATTGTATTCTGCCACAAAGAAACTGCTGAAATAGTGTCCCGCTTTGGCAGCCTGTGAATGGGCCTGTGGGATGTGGGCACCATTTTCAGCACTGCCGTAGAGGAAAATGAACATTCCTTTTCCCATCAATTCAACAAACAAACCATTGTTTGCTGCAGGAAATACATAAAAAGGTAAAGGACAGATGTGTATGTCTTAACACAAAGCCCACTCAGACCAGGAAGTGGTGGCTGTTCACAGCTCTCTATCGTTCTCGAGTATTCGAGGATGGACATCTTCCCTTCACAACTCGTGTTTTACCACAAATTGTTTTTTACATTGCAACAAACACAGATGGAATGCTAGTGTACCATGCTGAAATGTGAATTGGTTGCTTGGCTACATACTTTGGCCATTCGTACTAGTCCCCTCCACCTCCATCAGACTTTCTGAATGGTGAGAATAGGCACAGTCATGGAAAAATATTATATTGTTGGCACACAACTGAAATGAACACTAATATTTCCCCATAGATTCTTACGTATATCATATTACTCACAGCTGTTGTGCATTTCAGTGAAGTGGAGTTAAAAAGTGATATAAATTGAAATAATAAACTAGTTTAAGGATGATGTATCCTTAGTGATTTAATATTAGGGATGTGCACTGCTGAAACTCCATTCCAGTGGGACTTTGCAGAGTTTCATTCTGATAATGGCAGACTATAGCAGACTTTTCCCCAATTCTAAAAATGTTCATATTTTTTACACACATTGAATACACACATTTGGAGGGTGGAATTCCATGATTTGGGCAAATGGTATTGGTTTTTTAAAAAAAATTGTGTTTAAATCTGCACGAATACAATCATTTTAATATCATTTCCAGGTCTAATAGAACTGTATGCTTTTTCAGGTCTTTACCTTATGCAAATAGGATTGTATTTTCTTTTCTTTCTTTCTTTCTTCTTTTTGCACATCTAGCAGTCTTCTCTTTTTTCCTGTTCTAACTCTCCATGTCAAGTTTATTCCCATCTGCACAATAGTTCATTTAGTGCAGCAGAGCCATATTTGCTACTTGTCAGAGAACTTGTAAATTTCATCGTCCTCTTACAGAGTCCCCGCCATCTTTGCTTTTTGTTTATAAAATCATAGAACAGTAGAGTTGAAAGGGGCCAAGAAGGCCATTGGGTCCAAGCCCCTGCTGTTGCAGGACACCAATTTACATGCCCATTTAACATGGCCATTCTTTTGTTAGAGGAAACTAGAATTACTCTAGAACAGTGATCCTCAAAGTTTTTTGGGCTGCTGCCCCCTTTCCTCCTGGGTGACAACCTTAGCCCCTCCACTGCAAATCAAAACAACCAATCACTGCTCCCCCTGGTTCATTCCACCCACCCCCTTTGGAAATAATTGCTCTAGAATGTGCAAAACAAGCCAAAACCAACCATCTCGAAGCTGATCAATATCATCATCAAACACAGCCTCTTTAAGAGCACTCTTGTCATAGGCGCTGATAGTATCTGCATATGGGTAGGGGTTATATTCTCGTGTTCGGGGTCCCGAAAAGGCACGTGGGGGCTGGGTATTGAGTAGGGATGTTTTGTTGTCGAGAGCCATCCTTCCTCCTTCTACAATATCACTGCTTCCACGCACATCAGTAGCTGGAGATGCTATCCCCCCTTCTCGAGAAACCTGCAGGAATAAACACAAATAGGATTTTTTTTGCGGGGGGGGAGGGAATTCTGAGAGGCAGTGTGATATAGTGGCTAAGTGTTGGACTAAGACTCAGGAGAGCCAGGGTCTAGTCCCCACTCAGTCAAGACACTCTGGGTGGCTCTGTGCCAGTCAAGAAGCCTCAGCCCAGCCAAGCTCACAGAGGGGGATGACTATGTAAGTGGCCAAAGGCTCCTCGCAGGTTGAAAAAAGGTGGGATATATAGATAAACTGAATATATAGATAAACTGAAAAATAAACTTTCAACAGCTGGCATTAAGCCAGAAGAAAGTAATGCAATTCTTTAGTAGTTTTACAATTTAATGGGAACCTGTTTGATAATGTGACCAGTTAGTACTTATTATCCACTCAGAGCCCTTGGAGTAAGATGGTTACAAATCTAAAGAACAGCATTTGTTTCCACTGAACATGTAGTTTTGAAGCTGAGATACACCAGTCACATGTAGCAAACCTTAAAAAAAGACTAACAACATTTTATCACTTTGCTCTTACTCCAAAACATTCTCTTACTGCATATGTAGTTGTAGGAGGACTTTGCAAGGAATTGTGTACTGACTCTCTGCCACTGGTCCTTGGCCCAACGAAAAACAAGAAGACTCATAAGCTGCATGGAGCTGCTCCAGTATTTGCTCCAGGCTCCTCCCAGCTGCCACCTGCACATTAGACTTCACTTACGAGGGGCCTGGCATACATGGATGCAGTGCACCTAAGCTCTAATGGCGCCACCTCTGCACCACAAAAGGAATGCATGTGAGTAGGGGCAGATGTGTGCTGAGCCAAGGAGGTTCCTAGGCAAACATGAAATGAAGTGAACCCGTGTTAGGCAGGATGCACCAACACAGCTCTGATTAATGTGTTAGACCTGGGAATCTGCAGGGGCAGCAGTATGTTGTGCACTGAAAGCACCACAGCGGAGCCTGTAGTCTTGACACCCGAGAGAGAAAAATCAACATACCAGATACATCAAGGTATACCTGAATGCATCTGAGTTTCCTCTATCCTTTTTCGCCCAGTGCAGTGAGAAGTACAAATATATGACATGAAACCGAAGATAAATTTTGAGAGACCCAAAAAAGTAGAAAAACTGAGATGAGGCCTGACATGGATACTACCCATGGGAAACGTTACCTTGCACAAGGGCTCTGCATTCCCAAGTTGCTTGTCTGTAGTTCTTCCATATGGCTGGGGCAATTTTTGCCCCTTCCATCGCAAACCTGTCTTTTGTGGGGTGAGCATGTCATAATACAGTTAAAATGACAGTGTGCATATGGAGAACTGCTTCACACAAACAACTTGTTGCTCAGTTACTTTTCAAAATGGCCATTCACATGAATGACCACATTTATGAATCAGACCTAAATTTACTTGCAATTCAGAGTAAGCAAAAGTGGAAAGATTTGACTAAGTTCAACAGGTCTGGAGGATGATAATACTCTAACAGGACAAAAATGATCTCCTTGAGATCAGCGGGAGAGGCCCTTCTCCAGGAAACCTCCGTGAAGGATATTAGGAGGGTAAGTACCTGGAGGAGGGCTTTCTCTGCGGTGGCACCTAAGTTATGGAATGTGCTCCCCAGAGAGGTCCTCCTGGCGCCGTGGTTATTTGTTTTTCGGCGCCAGGCCAAGACCTTTTTATTTAAACGTCATTTTAACTGTTAGCTTTATTTATTGATTTTATATCTTTGGCCAGGACGTCTCCAATTGTATTGTTTTTATATGTTTAATATGCATTTATTTATTGTTGTAAGCCGCCCTGAGACTTCGGCGAATGGGCGGCATAGAAGCCTACTTACTTACTAAATAAATAAATGCTTTCTTAATATGAAAACTATTCAGATTCATGAAAGTATTTCCAATACCAACTGGCAAATATTTTCAGAAGTGCTTCCAAAGTCACAAAAGGCTACTTACAATATCACTGTCCTTCTTCCCATCACGTTTGATTGGTTCATTCAGATCCTCTTGGCTACGAAAACTAAATTTTTCAATTGCTTCTGTGACTCCACGCAGAGAGCTGTAAATTTCATCAGAATTTAGGTTCTCCGTGTCGTAATCCAGCATGCTAAAGAGCGAACACATATGCAATGTTAAAACCAAAGAGCAGTTTGTTTATTTTTGAGCAATAATATTGCTGGCTTGGGGAGCATGAGTTGGCATCCAGTTTTGAAACGTGTGCTGACTTCCACAAATCAGACACAAACCTAAGGAATTCAGATGTTGGTTTTGAACTTTGTGAAAACTGACAACGCAGGGCTAGATATTGGCTATAATTCCACATGCACATAGTCAGCTTGAATACCCAACCAGTCCTTTCACAAAACCAATTTTAGAGTGTATTAGAATGCCTTGAAAGCAATACTTTTAGCCAAATAGCTAACAACATTCTTTCGTAGTACCATAAAATTAAGGGCACATAAAAATCCCCTAATTCCACATGTAGCTCAAGCATCTTGTCAAAGCCTCACTCCAAATATGTAGTAAGTAGCAATACATGGTTAGTAATAAAAGTAGACATTCATGATAATGGAAACTCAAAATGTTGTGGCACCATGGATTTGATGCATGAAATACACACATTTAGTTTGGGGCTTTACATTTTATGATATAAGAAATGTATTTAAGAGAATTTAAATAACTAAAATTAGTTTTATCCAGAGGGAAAGCTAACTGAGCCAGAAGCTCAAGCTCTTTCTTGGAAGCAGAAAGACTATCACTACCATTGCTTGGACATCAGATAGGAAAAGGCTTTTGCTTGGTACAGCTGGACACATGATGCCATCTCTGGACCTGCCCCGTTTCTCTTAGGTCCACAAAGTGTTCCATGACAGCTAGCATCATTGCTAACAGAGCTTGCATCAATAATAAATGGAAGCAGATTTGTGCTAGAAAAAGTGATTTCCTATGCGCCCTGCTGCTCTGATCATTTTGTCTGAGGCTTGCTGAAGGCTTTAAAGAAAACAAATAGCAAAAATAGCAATTGTTACATGCAAGTGTAACATGTCAATAAATCATTATGATGAGGAAAAAATCCCCAGCAGATCAGTTTTCCATATGAAACCCTGTAACTATGAAGATTATTCACATGTAGGACAGTGCTGGTTGAGTAGCAACCTTACACTGGAAAACAATCCCCATGAAATTATCTTTACCCTTTCTTTCCCCAGAACTGCACAATCTTTTCTCCCTTGAATCATCCTGTACACAACTATGGAAGTGCTTGCAAGATATGATCCCAGGTCTCTAGAATTCTAGACTCAAAAGGTGACCTCAGTAGCTACACTGCTGATGCTATTCTAAATGGAGCAACCCCTTCCATACTGTGTCTGCAAACGAGGGTTCTCCCTAAGGTGAAGCATGTTGAAGGGAGGCTAAAGAATTTTAATAAGACTAGTGAAGGGTAGGAAGGTGCATGTGCAATATGAGTATCCCCCCTGCCACCCCCCCATAATCCACTCCCCATAAGGGAATCTCAATGAGATGCTTTTCCCTGTTACTTTACTCAAAAGTGTAACCCAAACCAAAAACCTGGGTAGAGGCCAGGGTTTTATGACCACAAGTCTCAAATTCTGGATAGCCAGTATGCAAGAAACCAAAGCCTCAATAATAAGTTGTGAGAACCATGCAGGTATCATTTTTTCAAGTAAAGTTATATTCACAGAAACAAAAAGATGAAGATAGGGAGAAAACTCTAGCTTTGGGATGGATCTTAAGTGTGCGTGAAACAATATGGAAAAATGAAAAGAAGTAGAAGTAGAACCAACTTTGCCAAAGAGTGCATGAAAGGTGGCTGATTTCCTGTCTGCTTGAATGCACCTCAGGTAAAGACTATCCTGGGAGCAGAGTGCATCTGACTGCCCTGCTCACACACAAGATGGGGGGGGGGGTCTAGTTTGTATAAGAATGGCATCTGGGTGAGGGGATCCGAATGTTGCTCCCCTGAACCATTTCACATTGTGATCCCAGCCTGTTCAGTCCTGCGGACCATCAAATACAGCTGTCTTCATCATAGGTAGCCTGGTCCAGAGAAAAATGCTAAAGTGAAGGAGTGGAAAGGGATCCTCCAATCACAGGAATAACATGCTATGTATACAAAAATGATGTTTCACAGCATGGAAACATCTTTTGAACAGTAGCTTGCCAAAACCTTGGTTGCCCAAGCCAGGATGTAAATTATCTAGAAGTGTTTTTCCTCCTGCAAGAGAGTCAAGAAATGCTACCAAAGACAAGACTGATCTCTCCTGAATTCTCTGAGCTTCATAAATATCAGGAACAGAAACAGTTCCAGGATCTCTATCAACTTACTCTCTCTCTTCAACACTGGCCCAAGCAGGACCACCAGAACTGAAAGTGCATGTGTTTTGGCAAAGCAGCCATAAGGTAGCACCTAGACTTTCTAAACAAAGATTTGGAAGAATGCCCTACCTGGAAAGAAAGAAAGAAAGAAAGAAAGAAAGAAAGAAAGAAAGAAAGAAAG